CTTCACCATCCATCCTGATGCTGCCAATTGGTCCAGTGGTGAGAATCTTTGTCTTCTTGACACTGAGGTTCAATCCATACTGACGGCTGCAGTCCTTGACCCTCTGCAGCAAGCACTTCAGGTCCTCCTCAGTTTCAGCAAGCAGGGTTGTGTCATCTGCATAACGCAGATTGTTGATAGGTCTTCCACCAATCCTGATGCCACACTTCTCCTCATAGAGCCCAATCTCTTGGATAATCTGTTCTGCAAACAGGTTGAAAGGGTATGGAGATAGGACACAGCCCTGGCTTACACCTTTCCCAACTTTGAACCATGCAGTGTTTCCTTGCTCTGTTCTGACGACTGCCTCTTGGTCCAAGTATAGGTTTCGCATTAGAAGGATCAAGTGTTCTGGGATTCCCATTCTTCTCTCATTCAGCCACAGTTTGTTATGATCCACACAGTCAAATGCCTTTGCATAGTCAAAGAAACAAAGATAGACATTCTTCTGGTATTCCCTGCTTTGAGCTAAGATCCATCTAACATCAGCTACAATATCCAAGAGGATAAAGAAAAGAAATTCATACATTTGGAAGCTGAACAACATCACTAGAATAAATTAATAAAAATTTAAAAGTTTATTGAAACAAATGGCAATGAAAACACAACTTGTCAAAACCTCTGGGAAACAGCAAAAGATGTGATTATAGATCAATTTATAGCAATAAGTAAACACATTAAAAGACAGGAAAAAATGACTGTTGACTTTCTAACCCAGCATCTCCAACAAACTGAGAAAGAGCAGCAAGAAAACCTGACACCATAAGAAAACACACACACACACACACACACACCCCAAAAACAAAACACAAAAACATCAAAACCTGAAGTAATAAAAATTCGGGGAAAAAGAAATTAAATAGAAAACAGAAAAACAATTGACACCATCAACAGAATGATGAGCTGGTTCTTCAAAAAAGTATGTAAAATCAGTAAACAACCAGCAAAACTAACAAAAGAAAAGAAGTATGCAATCTACACATTCAACGCAATCCCAATACAAATACCAATTACATTCTTCAAAGAGATGGAAAAGGCAATCTCCAATTTTATTTGGAATGGAAA